TATATATATATTGTCGGCTATTATTTTTAGGAGTGACTAAAAGTATATATTTCTCTTTTTTTTTCTTAATGCCGGGGAGGATACATTTGGAAGCTAAGGGTTAAGTCGAACCAAATAAATTTGACAAGCTTTGTATATGTTGTTAAGAAATCTATTAAATAAGTCTAAATAGTAAATTTTGGACTTTGGTACCTCAAATGGTCAGTCAGTTTCAGGGCATTCCGAACCCATAAAGTTCAAATCTTGAATTCGTCTTTGCTAAACACCATACTGAATATTTAAATTGAGTTTTCCTTGCGTAAAAATCAAATCTATAATTACAAGGAAAAAAATACAAATTAAAAGAATGAATTTTGTACCTTGAAAATGAAAACTATACAAAATTTGAAAACATTGATTATAACTATTGAAATTAGGCTTCCGAAATAAAGTTATTTTGAGCTACAACTTTTCGACTCCAACGTCATGTTACTTTCTTGTTTTCACTATGTGCAAATAATAGATGATTCAAAAAAAAAAATCAAGTTTTTGTACTTAAAATTATTTAAGAACTGCAAATTAGTCTGTATTGAAGAAGTTATTCTTTCTATATAAAATTAAGTTATATATTTCTGATTGAACGTAGTGTCTTTGTTTTATCTTGTGAAAGTTTAACTTAATGCATATAGATAAAGATTATTGGAGTTGCAGTCTAAGCTTTGTTATTATTCTTTACCCCCCCAAAAAAAAAATATATATATATATATACACTAATATATAGATGCGATTTATGTATTTAACCATTGATGTAAGTCTCGAATCTAAGCAAAATCCTTCCTCTTTTCCCCCATTTCCCTTTCTCACTAGACACGTAGCTCAATCCGACTTCTAAAGAAAATTAAATAAAAAATTCTTGGTGAAGAAAGTCAATAAATTTTCAAATTGTGTTATTAATATTTTGATACATAAACTGCATCAATCTATTATATATTAAGTATGCTTTAGTTTAAAGTGTTGTATCAAATGAATATTTTTTGCGATCTGTCAAATCGGCTCCAAGTACACATTTATAGAGAACAAACTTACTCACCCATTATTTACGCCATACCACATTAATTTATGATGATAAAACGGTAAAATTAAGGTAAACTTTGCATTAATTAATCATGTGAAATAAAATTGCATATAAATGACATCCTTGTGACGTATTCATAGGTGTACGTACGGAATGTTGGATCACCAAAAGTCTTGTCACCAAGTACTCCTCAATCTTTAACTAGAGATTTCAAGTTTGAGTTCTGAAATAAAATTACAATTTGGTAGGAGCATTTTATTTTTCGGCACGAATCCAAATTAATCTTATCTCAAATCGGGGTACCAGACGAGAACCAACAAATAAATATGGGATCTTTACATAAATAGCTGGACATGCTCATTATTTATCTTTTCTAGTCGGTATATATAAATTACTGTACATAATTCTACATGTATTATATATCTGTCGGTTATGTTTGATTCTTCAAAAAATATGGAATATTGTGGTACATCTTGCACCGTTCAATATACAATAACTAAAGTAGGGGTGTTCGTCGGTTGGTTGTCACGCCCCGAACCTAGGAGCTAGACAAGCACCCGGTGCCTCACCTAACCTGGCGTACCAAATTGCGACT